AAGTAAATTAAAAGATACACGGACGGTCCTCCTTTTTAAAAAAAAAAAAAAAAAAAATTTATGGAAAGACAAATGTCCACTTCTTGAAAAGGAAATTTGTTGGACTTCTGCCTTTGGTCCAGAAAGGATGGAACGATTTTAACATTATCTAATTGTGAAAAGGACAGCCATGACCTGAAGGCGCTGAAATGTTGGCAGAGTCAGAGATACCGGATCGCTTAAGCAACCCGGCGAATAGCTCCGCAGGATCATAGTAAACTTCCACGTCTTCTGCCCTCAATGATTCATCAACCTGCCATAAATATTCAAAGAAAAATACCAAATCAATTGTTGATATTACATCACTTTTTTCACTAATTATTTCGCGCAACGGAGACAATCTATTTGTCCAGTTGTTTACTGTTATTGGCAAAACAAATGGAAAAATGATGTGGGAGGGGTAACGCGCGAGGGGCTTTGCTTACCTTCATGACTGCGAGGCCATAGAACTGGACCATCTCCCCAGTAGGGGCATGGCCTTTGAAAGGTCCTTCAAAGTAGCCCCAGTGCCTGAATTTGAAGGTGACCACTGGGGGTCCGGAATAAACACTGATTACTTCCCATGCAAATCCACGAGGAAAGGCTGAGCGGAATGCATCATGAGAAGATTCAAAGCTCTCTTCTTCTGCTTTGTAGTACTTGAATTCCTCTGGCATTGAACTCTTTAACAACGCATTGTAGCTCCCCAGCTTTAGTGTTTCTTCCCCTGATAATCCCTCTTTTCCTGCACTCCCAAACCAAATTATTAGCCCATATGATAATACCACTACTTTTCATGTTACAGTAAAAAACTCAGGATTATTTAGATTGGCTCATATGATAAGCCACTTTAATGTGGCAATTGGTTTGAACCCTTGGCTTCCACCCCATCCAGCTTTAAAGCTTTGGTGGAGGCCATCAACCCAAAGGCTAGTGGTTATCCAACTCAGCTACATGAGGAGTTAAAAAGGAAAGATCCATCCAAGCCAAAGAGGTGTACTACTATATATTTTTTGGATTTTTTTGAATGAATATCCAAATAGATAAGAAAGTAACCTTTGGTGTTTAAGACGTGGTTAAATCACATAATCAGCAATCCCTTGGTTTTTTAAGTCCCCCGTTCAAGAAAAGACTGGATACAAAAACACGAGAACATGTGTGCTGCGTGCGTGGAAAACATTAGCTGATCGACATCTCGCATGATTCATGATGGTGATAAATGAATACTGAATCATACAGCATCCAGATGAGGAAAAAAAATCATCGAGGGTTGCCTTAGTGTTGTTTATGTGATAATTTGTCCTACCATTGACGATAAGCTTGAATTTCTCAGGATTTATGGTCCTGAAATCTTGTATACGAGTCTTGTGAGACAGCTCCATCTCCCACGACTTTATAGCATTTTGAACTACCTCTTCTAGGGACCCTTTTGGCCATTCCTGCAAACCATGTTGATAAACATGTAAACGTTGGAGCAGGGTTTACTCATTTTGATACCAGCAGATAAATACATAAAAGAGAAAAGCGGTGTTTGAAAAAGATGAGAAATTCCAAGCACCTTGGTTCGGCCTTCTTCAAAAACCTTGTTGACAGAATCGTAAATTGGAGGGCCACCATGTCTCCACTCAAAATTTTGTCCTTCTTCGTGTAAGAAAGACCTATACTTATCAGCTGCAACTGCTTTGTCGGTGGCCATGGGAAGAAGTTCTTGGAGCACAGATTGTACTGCCTGATACTATATGCCTGTAGTTATAGGACTACTTCACAGAATTCATATAAAATGGCACGGTGAGGTTTGGTATAAATAGGCAATTAATAGAGGAGGTTGCTTTGATGACTTTCCTTCTTGTTCTTATCGCAATTAGTAGTTAGTCACGTGCTAATCTGCATATTAAATGTAATGCTGGTTTTACCGAGGGCCGTTTACTTTCTTGGAGCTGGCATACCAATGGTGTAAATTAAAAGGGTCGCAAGAAGTGATGTAGTGATCAAATATTGTTAACCTCGAGATGAATCATGAATTCGATATAATCACTTATAGCAAGATAATTGTTTTCCATGAATAACGATAGCCAAAAAAAAAAAAAAAAAAAAAAAGTTTACTTCGGGTGCTGAGTTTTAGCATATTTTGGGGTAATTGTACCGCAGGTTGTGTTCACTGTTCAACTAGCCGTACACCGACTTCTTCTGCAATTGAATGTACGACAGCAGCAAAAACAAAATATAGAAATTACATTCTGTCTTTGTGTAGAATACAGTAAATAACTACACACCAAAATGCGGCAGTTATCAATTCGATGTCATGGAAGCCTTTTGAGAAGATTGAAACAAATTAAATTAGCAGTCATGCATTACAGATAAATCAATATGTATAGAACATTATGAATGAATATGAGCAGAAGCAGATACTGTCCATTAGTTAGTAATTTCGGAAAATATTTGCGGGTTTTCCTACAAATTCTTTATTTGTTTATTCCCATTCCTAGAAATGCTGGTTCGAAGGATAAGATTGCCAAAAATTAGGTTGTCTTTGAATTGGGAGATTCAACGAAGAATTTAAAATCTTTTCTACTTTGTCTAAGTTATCTATATCTATATAAATTACACAGGAGGGATTCCGATTAGAAACCATTCTAGACCTCCAAACTCTTAATTCCTTTTTTTTTTAATATAAATTTTCTATTTATTTTATTCGTAAAATGTAATGAGTTGATTTCAAAATCCTGATTGTAGACTATATTCTCATCATTTCAAAATTTAAATTATTTCCAAACTCTCAATTCCTTTTTTGTAGATTTTTAAATTTATTTTAATTCCTAAAATGTAATGAGTTGATTTCAAAATCTTGATTGTAGACTATATTCTCATCATTTCAAAAATTTGAATTATTTCCAAACTCTCAATTCCTTTTTTGTAGATTTTTAAAATTTATTTTAATTCCTAAAATGTAATGAGTTGATTTCAATATCTTGATTGTAGACTATATTCTAATTATTTCAAAAATTTGAATTATTTCCAAACTTTCAATTCCTTTTTTGTAGATTTTCTATTTATTTTAATTCTTAAAATATAACGAATTTATTTCAAAATCTTGATTGTAGACTATATTCTTGTCATTTCCAAATTTAAATTATTTCTAAACACTCAATTCCTTTTTTGTAGATTTTTTATTTACTTTAATTCCTAAAATGTAATGAGTTGATTTCAAGACATTGATTATAGACTAGAAGTGGCAAAATGGATATATGGTTGATAAATGGTTTTAGTTAAATGGATAGTGGATCAAATTGATCCAATCCAATTAAAACCATTTAATAAATGGATCTAAATGGATGTCATTTAAATGGATAGTGTAAACCATGATCCATCCATTTATCCATTTACTCTTCCAAATCCTAAATTTAAGATCCAAATTTTTTTTCCAAAAAATACAAATTCCCAAAGTTCTATCCTTAAATCACCTAAAACCTTTTGGTAATAACAAATGCTTGTACTACTACTCTATTTCAGTACTTCATAAAATTAATTTAGTTCCAAGAAAATTTAACTGTTGTGGTCAATTTAACCTTTCGTCATTATTTTAAGTATCATTTTGTAAAGTAATAAACAATTAAGAACTTGGCTACATTTTTATAACTTTGAATGAATTGAATACGGCTTTACAGTGAAAAGAAGTTTACGTTTCCAATCTTTTGCACTCCTATTCAAGAGCGATGTCTTGAATAAAAGTGGAGTTCTAATAAGAAATCTTATGTTATTTGACAAGTAAAATATTTTCATCACATATGCACGTAGTACCTAAAAATGTATGAAATTCCTTATTATACCATTGATATACAAGCTACCTTATATTACTTAGTAAATTAGGTGTCTTTTTTTTTTGGGTAGTTGGGTTAGGTGATAAGGGGAGAGGGATTGCAAGTATGAGGATTTAGAAAAAAAAAAAAAGTGTCATTTACATATCTTAACCAATGTTGCGGGGACACTTGTTAGAAAAATTCTTTTTATAAATAAAAGAATTAAAAAAATAAAAATTATTTTGACATTGCATGATGCATTCTCGCTTTTTCTTTACTTAAGAATATAAATGTTTGCAATCATTACTACATGAGAGTTTAATTAAAAAAAAACAAGAGCAGAGACTAAAATATAATTTTGAAAAAGATGGAAGAAGTCTAGGAGCTAGAAGCAAATAAAATGTAATTAATGTTATTGGCAACTTGGCATGTGAGGAAGTTATGAAGGAAATAATAGGTGGTCCCACAAAATTAATTTGACATATGAGGAAGTTATGAAGAAAAGAATAGATGGTCCCACAAGATTTTATCTCACATTTTTATAAATGTGTTTTCTATTTTTTAAGTTAAATGGATGTATATGGATAAGATGGATAATCCATTTAAATCCACCAACATAATTGGATTTAAATGGTTATCCATTTAAAACCATTGAATTTATATGGATCATCCAAATCCATTTAAGGTTGGTTTATATGGATGGATTGGTGGATATGAATCCATTTTGCCACTTCTAATTTTAACCCAATCTAAAAGGTAATCTGTTAATCGAGTAAAGTTGGATAAACAGGTAATCTTTCTTTCTTTTCCCTTTTTCCCGCATTGGGGGTGTCTTGTGGAAATCACAACTTGAAACGGGCTGAGAATAAACAGATTGGGCACCCCATAACCCGTAAGAAAAATCCAGTAATTCACCACTGGCCGTGGACTGGGGAGCAAGAAGAAGAATCCGTTGAAAACTTGAGCCAAGCTCGCTCAGGAATTTAATTGGCTTAATTACGTATCACTAATTTGTTGGTCAAATAGGATGATTGTCAATTGTTGGGTAAATTGGAGTTTTCTCTGATTGTCAACTTTTGTCCGGTCCTTAGCCAATTCATTGTACCGACAAATAATGCAGACAAAGTCCTAAGTAGAGGAATACTATAATATAATAGTATACAATACAGCTAATTCTTGACATGAGCAAGCTTAGGAACATATATCATAGTATTATATTTACCAAAACAGAGCGAAGATTCAGCAACTTTGGTCCCATACCAAACAGTCAACGCGCTTTCCTTTCCAGATTAAAGGGGGGACAAAAAGAACCCATAACCAGCCATGGCTCTGTCAAATCTACAAAATTTAACAGTGCAAAATAAAAAATATTGAAGCCGGTGGCCTCCAGATCAGGCTTTTGACGCTAATGGGGTCGACCAAGATGGCGCGTAAATGCTTTGATCCCCATCCATGCATATCTACTAGCAAAGATAAACCTGACACTGAACAGCAGTTTTGCCTATCCTAAACCCTGGAAATACCGTAAAAGCCACCCGAGGCTCGGATTCCGGCGAACCATCAGATGACAGGAATGCTTCCTCGCTCACGCTTTCCATGTAAACTTCTGAGAATCTACTTCTCTTGTTCACTTGAAAGATTGAGGCTTCCGGTTTGAAAGATAAGGCAAGGCAATGTAGTAGCCAAATGCGCTTCGCCATCTCTGCAAACGCAGCAAAAAACGTTGTCTCTGGGTATTCCCCTGCATTCGCTAAATTTCTCTGGTCCAAATTGCCGAAAAGAGATGTTTCCATCTTGGGATGAATCAGTGTCAAGTATTTAGCGCGACAGAATTTTGCAAATGCGGATTTAGGCTTCCAAGCTAGGTAATCCATTGGTTTCACAGACTTTAATTCCCTGAATCTTTCAAAGAACACCCGTTGGCGTTTCTTCTGCTCAGGCAAAGATTCATTTGAAACTGAGAAGTCGGGCTGATTGAAACCATCAAACATTTCCCGGCAGACAAATGACTCGAATGCATAGCATTTATGGCTGTTTTTCCAAAAGGCAACGCCAGGCTCAATTGAACTGGCAGCAGCATCTAGATCCCACTCTGCAGATTCCATCTCACTGATGAGCAACCGAACAAAGCTCCGAATAGACTTAATTGTCTGCCGAACAAATGTAATAAAGTGACTGGGGCTTAAGCTTGACAAGTGAACGTTATCAAGAGCTGATGATAACTGCCCGCTTGAATTCAATCTCTTCTCTAGCAACTTGTTCTCTTTATTGGCTTCCTCCAGTTTCTCTCTGAGAAATGTGAGCTCGGAGTCCTTCAGTTTGAGCTGCGAATCTAGTTTCTTTCCCATTATTTCGTATGTTTTCAGCAAGCTCTTCTGCTCCTGAATTTCGGCCAAGATCTGAGTGGTTTCAGGGGAAGATTCATCGATTTGCTTCTTCAAGTAACATTGCTTCAGTTCTGACACATTCTTCAACTCTGATACCACCATCTCATCTGCTGTCTGAATTCCATCAGGATCGTAAGGAGACTGAGCATATTGAAGCTGGGCGTACGCTGCTTTAACAGATGAGACACTGGCAAAAAGCTTGGCTACAAATGCCTCTGTAGCCGCTCTACTGCACAGCTTCTCGTCCTCATCATCAAATGGCTGCAAATGGCTTTTGTTCTTTACCAAATTACTCTTAACATTTTCAGGGGAATTAATCTTCTGGATTCCATCATCTGGAGCTATCCCAGTTACTGCTCGAATGTGCAAAACCTTAGCAAACGTGCGCGCCAATCTACTCTTGCTCTTATTTGGGGTAACTGCAGACCTGTCCACCGAATCCATCTGGAAAAGAGTTGCAAATTATAATGACAATGATACAAAGATATGCTATTATGTAAATGAAGAGTTCAGGCAACTATGTCAAGATTTATATATACAGATAAAGGGAGAATAAGAATATGATCACGATGATAACTAGTGTAACAATGATGAGCTTGTTTCAACAAAGGAAAAAAGCATCGCGCTTTAGCTCTTGAACCGAGACCTTTAAAGAACAAGGAATTTCTTTTTGTTTTGCATTTGAGTGCTTCTGATTTTCATTCTTTCGACATAATCAAAAAGTGGATCTAAAGGTGGGGTAAAAAAAGTACGAACAGTAGCAGCAGAGGAATCACAATAAGGTGAATAAACTAATATTCTGAAACGCGCTTAAAGGAAGCATCCAACGGCTCAGAGTTCAAACTTTTTTATAATTCCTAAGCTGCAGGGGTCTGGTGAGATGCCCCATCAAGGTATATTGCTGCAGAAACAGCCAAAGAATAAAGAGCTTTACAAAGAAGAGAACATTGAGAATCAAAATACATTCAACAAACTGAAAAAAAATGCTAATATCAGAAAAGTATTACATATAACCGTTGAACATAATTACGTGATTAAAAAAGATCATCCATCCCCCCCCCCCCACAATCAACACACCACAAAAAACACCTTGCTGCAAAAGGTTGAAACTCAGCAACGAGAATCAGTTGCCAAAAATTTTATAACACAGCAAGCTTTGACGAGATACTTAGTACTTTAGGTTCCTATTCTGCATAAAGAATATCTTCAGTCTTCAACCTACCAAACACATCCAGGTGGAATTAGTTTTCCCTGGCTTCAGCCAGCTAAAATCTTGCCATATAAAGACATTTTGAGACTGAACTTTCCTTCTCCCCATCCCCCAAAAAAATAAAGAATGTAAAACGGCAGAGAAAGAAACTTGATACAATTTGGACAGGCTGAAGGAGAAACTTAACCGCCACTCAGAATCATGACTAGGGGAAGTTAATACTAGGTTTGGACTGCAGTTGCCTAACAACTGAGAAATCTGTATGTAGTTACAACAACGTATAATCCATAACAGTGCAACTTGCCTGAAGTATCCGCCTTGATCTTTTTAGCAGTAAATTAATTAAGGCTTATCGACTTAAATTAAGCTTAGTGCCCATTTAACTGATAAAAGCAGCAAGCAGAAATTTACAACCCCCCCCCCCCCTCCACCCAAAAAAACAAAAAAAAAAACAAGATTTCATGGAAAAGCCAATGCATCAACTTACTACTATAACTTTCTTGATTTCATTATTGCAGATTAAAAAGCTGCCACCACGATGCATAAGATAACAGCACCATGCTACTTAAACAGTAACAAACACACTTTGCAATGGTTTGCAAGACTAGAATTTGGACCAAAAGGAGTGTACAAACAAAGCAAAAGAAACACACTTTACTGACCAATGGATGGCATTGGGTCCAATAACTTTTTATTATTTTATTAACCCATAAAAAGGTGAAGAAATCCTACTCAGCATTCGTCATGTACAGGTGTCAACACCCATCTACCAGGACCCACCAACGAAATCCGACCTGTTACCCTCATCTCTCACACGTCACCCTACTCCTCCTCCCCCTCCTGCTGCAAGAAGATCACGTGGGCCCTTCCCATTTATCATTTCACTGCAGCAAATCTTTTGTCACTAAATTCACTTCACCATCCAACGGCCCTGAAGATCCCCCCAACCTTTGCCTTTTCTCAAGATTTGAGCCAACCGGGAAAAAAGTTACTGGTAATAATCAACGGGAGAAAAACATTTATAAGAAAAAAAATCCCGCAAGGACAATTTCGCCTGGATGCTGTGGACCCCACAATACGGGCCGAGGAATTGAGAACCATAAAGCTCGCTCACGTGCAAAACACGTGACCCCCTAAACTCCACTCTTAGTGACGGTGGGGTCGTTAACAGGGAAGAGTTAACTATACAAATTAAGACAGAGACTCCTGCAGAGCATTGAGCACAAAGTTTACGAATATCTACAGACGCGGTCAGACAAACTTAACATTTGACTAGAAATAATCAAAGCCTCAAAAAAAAAAATTTTTTTTGACTCCTCCGATTATCGTTGCCTTCAGAAAAACACACCTTGATGAATATTTTAGTGGTCAGCACTGGAAACCTTCACTTCCTCTTCATCCCAGGCTAAATCTCATCTTCCGAGGTCTCAAGAATCCAGAAAACACAATAATCGCCTTCTGATTACTCCCTATACGAACCCGATAAACAAGCTTAGCTTAATACTTGAATGAAACTCATAGAAGGACATATAAAAGAAAGACTAGTAGTGCCTGAACAGAGAGACAATCAAGAAAAGAAGCTAAATTTGGGACCTGCACAGACAAAAAAAAAACAAAAAGAAAAACTGACCTTTTTGTCATTTTCTGGAATTAAATGACTAAATGGCGGTTACAGAATTAATACATCCAGCTAAGGAATGCAGAGAGAGCAATAAAGGAACGAAAAGATACGGGCTTTAATGGAAGTTTATGGGGGATGATAAGTTTAAAAAACAACGTACCTTCAAGGAAGACTCGTGGGCTAGTATCAGAAGAGACCAAGCATTGAAGCAAAGAAAGGCTACTTTTTGGACCTGAGATTTGATTATTTTGATCAAAAAAACATCGAGTTATTTCAATGATTGGTTGAACTTTGAAGAGGAAGAAATGAATGGGTTGGTGGGAGTGGGAGTGAGATTGGAGAACGGTTTTTTGTACTGTTTTGGGGAGTGTAGAGAATCGACCAGAGAGAGTTTGAAGAAAAGGAAAGGCGGAGGAGGAGGAGGAGAAAAATGAGGTGAATCTGGGGGAGGGAAGAGAGACAAGTAGAAAAAGACGAATATGGACAACAAAGCGGGGACTGGGGGAATTCTCCAACAGCTAGCTAAAGCATTGGGAACTAAAACTATTGCTGCAGGGTCTGGTCAATTCTTGTTAAGCTTTATTTGACGATTTTGCCCTGGTTTCCAGTAGTAGCACATAAATGTTTCCTGGTTTCCAGTTGTAGCACATAAATGTTTGGTTTGGAGGTTTTGGATCTTTACTTTAGGAGTTGAGGCAATGAAAAGACAATGAAAAGGATATAGTAAGAAGCTAGAGATGAAGGGTCTAATTTTTTTTTCCCATAATTAATTAGTGGTCAAAGCTCATTGTATTTTTTTTTTCTCTCAATCGTGGCCTTCTTTCATTTTTTTCCTCTCAATCGTGGCCTTCTTTCTTTCTTTCTTTTCTGCTTCCCCATCCTCATCAAAAGAGAATAGAATAAACTCTAAAGGAGTTGAAGTACCACAAGTAAGCTACCCTCTTTTAACACAAAAAGGAAAAGGTTATATAGCCAGATTACTTTAAAAAGAAACTTATGGATGTTATGATGATGGTAAATCATTTTTAATAAGCATAAAAGTCAGCAATTACCTTTTGAATATTATTAGAATGATTTGTGCTTCGTAAAAATGTATAATAATAATAATAATAATATAGAGCAAAAGAGAAATTTAAAAATAAAAAAAGAAGAAAACTTATTAACCGGCCAAGTTCTCTATTTACAAAAGAATAAAAATATACTGACAGTCATAAGTTAATCTTGTTTGAATTATGATTTTTTACAGAAAAAATTTTATGTTTATTGTAAACATATTTTTTAATTATCTTTTTAACTCATATACATCAAATTGATACGGTACTTTTTTTTTTAAAAAAAAAGAGAAAGAAAACTCCTAAATTGTCTATTTTCTTTACTAAGCATAGAAACTCCAAGCTTTAACACTGCGAGGATATTTTTGTCAATTTGAAAAACCGGCTGGAGAACGCGGGTTTATACAGATGGACGACGCATTGCACAAAGAAGGGTGGACAGTGTCACTTTCGCGAGGACGAAGACCGGCGTTTTCTGGCGGTGTCCTATTGTGTTATCACTCGCATCAATAACTCTTAGGCAACGCCCCATCTTTGATTTTTTATTGCATTTATGAATAGAAGGTGGACATGTGGAACCTTCTGCCATCTCAGCATCAAGCTATTGAAAGCCACTGGCCATTTAGTCCGGTGGTCATCCCCTTCTTTGGGATGTTGGAGGTCAGGGTTCAACTCCTGCCTCTCACAACTTGCCACTTTACGTGGCTGGTCTTTGTTCCCGCGGGATAACTCGAGCGGTCCGCTCCCCTTCCTTAGGGTATGACAATCTTCCTGGCTTGTCCAGGGTTCGAGTCCTGCTGTTAATGTGTTCAGTGTGGAGTGGGGCTTCCTCTCCCTGGTGAGTGGGGCTTCCTCTCCCTGGCCGCAGGGAATTAGTCGGACCCCGTAAGAATTGACCCGGACACCCCTGTGTCGACAAAAAAAACAAAAAAATCAAGCTATTGAAATAGAGGCAATCTTGGTGCTTTTGCACGACTGTTGGTGGAGAGTCCAAAAATTCGGGTGTGTTTGGATAGCTCAAATTTACTAAATAATATATATATAGTTTGTATTTTTAATATATTTTTAATTATTTTTTTATCTTACATACATCACATTACAAAAAAGTACTATAGTAATTATTTCAAATAATATTCTATCCAAACGCACTAGCGTTATCCAAAAGGAAAGAAAGAAAAAAGAAAAAATTTCATTTTGGATTAGTTCGTTTTTCTTTTCTTTTTTTTTTCGTTTTTGGATGTAGGGATTTTGTAAGGGGGGTCCCTTGAAATTATCTATGTACTGAAGGAAGACAGCAGCGGCTGCCTTTTCATGGCAAAAGAAAATTAAAAGGAGGGTATTTTGTACATTTAGAAAATGAATTGGCCAAACTCTTTTGAAATGAGTGGATTACATTTCACTATGTTCTTGTTATTACGTTTTTTTTTCCTTTTTGGTAAGAATTTTATCGTTATTTCATGCCAAACCTAGTAGATTTTTTTAATTACGAAATGGTTTGGCATAAATACCATATACAATGTACACTAAAAGTATACCAAGACTATTTTAGCACAATGGTGCAGCCAAAATTTTTCCTATCCAATCCACCTAAATTTTTTTCGTACCCCAAAAAAAAAAGTGCCCCCAAAAAGGTAGGTTATCCTTAACAATTGCAGCTATGAAGGATCGAGGTATTTTATTCTGGAAATTCTAGGAATTTTGTTGTTTCTGGACCAATTTGAATTTGATTCCAAATTAGCTACTGGTTCATGCAATGTGCAGAAGTATCCTCCTCTCATTCTGCTGTCTTATGCCACGGGAATACATTGAATCGCATAAAAAAAATGGTGGAATCATTCCAAGCCAGCCGAAATAGAAGTTTACAGATAATATCTGCTGGAGGAATCAGGAATGGATGCCATGCTTTTAGTATTGGATTCGCCTTTTGTCATCCCTACCGATGATTCTTGCGAACATAGTAGTGTACTTCAGGTCAGTATCATCGATGGAAACCTTTTAATTTTCTCTGTCACTTTTTTTTATAACGAAATATATTTCATTAATTGATTGTTGGAAATCGTTCAGCACAATTGATATGCATAGCTGTCCTAACAACAGATAAAATATGCACTAAAATTGTAGATCTGTAATTTAGCACATATAAAAGACCTGAAAAATGAAGAACAGATTTAAAAAGTACCATCGATCTAAAATCATCTCCTCATAGAATAAATCACTATAGCCCACTCTGTGCACGTTGCAATTGTCCAATCTATTAATTAACAGTTTTAAAGTCCAATAAAGATGACGAGATCTACCGACATAGACTCAAATCTGAAATAAAATTCAGATCTGAAGCAAAATTCAAATTTAAACAACAAAACAAGGAAAAATAACACAAAATCTCACTAGGAACTCCTAAGAGAACAGAAGTTCTCACTAGGAACCCTAGGAGAAACAGAGATCTTCGACTACAAAAATTTAGGAGAGACTTTATTAGGAAAATAATAAAAATGAAACCTATTGTGGTCTCCCCCCCCCCCCCCCCCCGCGCGGAAGAGGAAGAGACTAAGAGAAAATGAGCGGTAGAGAGAAGTTGGAAAAGATGAGGGGTGGAGGGATATTTTCTTGTCACTTTTTACTCGTAAAATTGGCAAGATACAGTGTGCCCACATTTTTTGTTTTTTGTCTTCATGTCAATTACCTGTAGTTGATTCACTTCTATAATAAGGGGTGACTTCAAGATATTGTAATTATATATCCACATAGAGACTTTTAATGTAATACGTAGTTTTTGAGTCATAATCTCGCATGCATGGCATAGAAGGAACACTTATAATATCTTGAAATTAAGTATGTATCAAGCGTGGCTTACCATGTCAAATTCTTTGGTAACTAGCCATAATCACGCTGCTTCATGTGTTGGAACATGCAATTAAAACGCAGGACAGCAGGAATACTACCACTTATTCTTAGGTCTGCACTCTGCAACATGCACCACTTGGTTAATTGCAGACCACAACACGCAAGAAAAGATAATGGGGTCGTTTCTTGCAATCTCAGGAAAAGAAATTATCACGACATTTCCCTTCGGTAACATGACTAATGACTTTGAAAGCTCTTAAAAACTTTGACAAGAACAACTTCAATCTGGAATGCCAATAATGACCTCATTCTCGGCATTTCCCATGAGTTTACTTACAAGAAAGAATCTATTGAAGTTATGATCCCGTATTCTTCCATATTTGTTTGTGAAAAAAAATCAATCTTTCTACATGCCCATCAGCAATAATCTTAACGTAAATCCTGTTTAGTGTTGCTTGTGAGGTTGAATTTTTAGTAAAAATTTTCTACTTGCAATTATCTTTCTTTTATTAGCCTCTAGAAAAGTCTTTGCAAAATTATTCAAAAATCTGTTGAGCAGTCAGAATAGTTCTTAATACTAGTAGCGTTATTAACGCGTGAGAAAGGTTGAGTATTATTAGACGTTATAAACGAGGTCTCCATAATTATTAGTAAGTGTCAAGATACATTACTGCGAATTACTCCCTCCGTCCTATTTCGAATGTCTCGTTTTTCTTTTCATTCGTCCCAAATTATAATAATATAACTTCCAATTGAAGAATATATCTAACTTTTAACTTCTCTAAAATACCTTTATTTAATATATTTCGTTATGAGTACTGAATATAGCTTACCTTATTTAATACAATCAATCTTTTTCATCAATAATTGCTTGGATATATGTTTTGAACGGTGCATCGTGTCATCATATTCCTGTTGTAATCATCAATATAAAAGTATAATGATTAGTGATACTTTTAGTATTAATATAAGGTATTTTAAAAAAAAAACTAGGTTAGATTTACTTTTTAAATAAAATTAACTATATTTCTTTTAATTGTGTGAGAAGAAAATCGATACTATTAAAGTGGTGGGACAGAGGAGCACCATAATACTAGCAAAAAGAACCGTCACTTTGTCCAGTGAACCATTGCAAATAAATGCGAACTTAAGATCTTGTGTGTAATGCTTTGCAGCTTTGGGGATTCCATTGTCGTCTGTTGATGATCTCGACGAGGGGCCGGCCGCAAATGTAAACGGGGGCACCGACTTTACCAGTATAGGACGCTGAGGCGGCCACAACGATTTCTCTTTTTTTTTTCCTTTCTTTTTATTTTCATTTAGCTACGTGTGAAGAAATTAGGAACAGTTTCGTAACTAATTTTGCTTCATAGTGAAATGAGTATTAAATGCGGCAGGATACTTTTCAAGAGAAGAAAAAAATGTGGCCAATAACACTCACAAGATCACATAAAATAAGCAAATATTAAGGACACAATAAATCCTTTCTGGTTTTTGAGAACCAATAGAGACCCAGCAAACAAAATAAAACGTGTGCTAAAATTGAATTATAATGGCAGAACTAAATTTGCCAGAATTAATTGGCTGCCAGAAATTGAATCATACTAAGAAATTTCTTTAAAAAAAAAAAGGAAATAAAGGAGACCCCGTCT